GGCCGGGCTGAGGGACCCCCCCTCCCCCCCGAGTGCACAAATTTTTGTGCACCGGGCCTCTAGTATATATATAAAAGCCTAAGTGACTGAACGACTGAATGACTGAATGAACTGGTGGACTGGTTGCTATGACATGCACTGATCACCAGGGGGCAGACGCTCAACACAGGAACTGCCCCCTGGTGGTCAGTGAGCTCCCACAGTGGAAGCATTGCTCAGCTGACATATGGGCGGCAGACGCAGGGCTCACGGCTGGCCGCCGCAGCCCAGAGACCGCAGCAGACAAGCCTACTGAGCAGCTGCAGTGGCAGGCACAGCGGGGCCAGGATGAGCAGGAGCAGCAGGCAGCATTGGACTGCCAGTTTCGGCCGGATCCCCACAGGCTATGCCAAGGGACCCCACTGGTGCATGAATCTGTGCACTGGGCCTCTGGTATATTTATAAATGTGGTGGTTAATAATTTTAGTTTAAAATTTTCTTTAAATATAAAAAGGGGATATGGATTAAATTAAGCAGTGATTAATAACAGTTAAGTTTGAAAAAGTGATCATTTTATTCCAGGTGCTTTGAATTCTTAAAATTGTCTCTAACCATATATTTATAAATGTAGTGGTTAATAATTTTAGTTTCTTCTCATGCTTGGCTGCTTTAAGTTTTTTAAATAATGATATAGTAATGTTCTTAATTATGCCTTTTAGAAATCTGGCTATCTGGATAACAAAGCTATTCATGAGATACTGCAATCCTTCTGGTAATGGCTGGAGGAAATAAACACCTCTCTGAGTTCTGACTTTTCAACAGTCACCTTATATGAAAACAAAAAATGCCAAGCATACAAAAACGTGTGTTCACTGATGAGAGATTGAAGCACAAAGAAGAAGAGGCTGAAGACTATGTTCCAGGGATATAATCTATACATGATAAATATTGGTTGGTAGAGGTGGGGAGGAAGAAATGAGGGAAGAGCAAGAAGAGGAAAATATGGGATTCCAAAAAGATAGCCACACACAGAATCCTGAGATGGGAAGGGGAAGCTCAGTAGTTTGGTTAGAATGCAGATTTTGTGCAAGTAAAGCAGTGCATGCCTAGAGAGGTGTGGTCAAACACTTACCTCAACCCGTTGTGGAACAACCTCTTGTAGTCAACATTTATTATACTGATATTTTCTTTTTTAAGTTCAGCAACGGGATCTAACCGGCCCACATGCTGAAAATTAGGAGCTCTCCACCTCACATAGTCCCTATCAAAACCAGGCAACCAATAAACCTGTAAGAAGAAACAGGAAATTTTTCAGTGAACCATCAGCTGTCTAGGTACAAACAGTTCCCTGTACAATAGATGAAGCCCCATTCCAGCACTGGTGGCAGTCTATAGGGAGCAGAGGGAGATTCTAGCCCTTGGCCTAATATTGTCTGATAAATTCTTACAATGGGGCTTTCACCAGGGTTGTTCTGCAGTTGAGTTTCCTCAGGTAATATAATGGGTCAAGGGCCCATTGTGTCACACTAGCCAAAGTGGATGAGGGGCTGGCAGGTGTGGATGAAAGGTGGGAACCATAAACATCTCCTCTGGCTGATGATGCTAAACATCATCCTTGAGAGGGCTCATTATGACTCATCTGTGCAAATAGTTCCATTGGTAAAAAGACCCATTTTCCCCGACTCATAGCATTCTTCTATATTCTGAGAATTTAAGAGATTTGGAATAATTGACTACCCCAATGCAGAGAGTTCCTTCTGAAAAACATGATGAACAAATCTATGCTCAAGTAAGACCCAGCTTATTCATCACTAATTGAAACCAAGTCCTCAATGCATTAGTGTACCCAGGCCCTTTCTAATAGTTCTACTTTGGTGCATGGTACAGGTCACATCAGATGGTCATTACACTGCTGATATTTCGTTTGGTTTGGAATAGCAACAAACCTCAATGTTTCTCCCCAGTGAAATAAATATAAGTGAGTCATTCTTAGGTTGCTTCATGTAATGTATAAGCAATAATTTCCATTTCTAAAGGGAGCAAATTTATTTAAGGATCCCAGAGAAGATCTGTAAGATGGGGTAAGTTCAACTGCTATACTCTTGGGACATGCTACCCACCTCCCAACCTCTACCATAAATACTGAGATAGACATACCAAATGTTGCTCAATTTTAGATTTAAGAATCACATCTACTACACGACGTACATATGTACTTCTGAGAGGATGTTTTGGTGGAGGGCCATTAAGATCAAATATCACATATTTATTTGTCTTCCGTGCAATATCCAAATAATCACTTAGTTTTGGAATCTTCTGACTTCCTGCTTTTTCTTCATCAGCCTCTGATAAGGGTTTCATATTGTAAAATGGCTTCTTCTAAAAATAAATACATCAGAGAATACATTGGCTCCTATCAAAAGCATTTTCCAATTTTCCTGCTATATGGCCCTACCTCCATGTTGCTCCATTATCATTCAACACCAGGCCCTCTGAAATACTGGTAATGCCAGGAGGAAATAAACAACTGAAATAAGAGTTACCAAGGAGAAAAATAAAATATAGACTCCAGCTCAGCTGGTGTGACGCAGTGGTTGAACATCAATCCATTAATGAAGAGGTCCCTGGTTCAATTCCTGGTCAGGGCACATGCCCCAGTTCCAAGCTTGATCGCCGGTTGGGGGCATGCAGGAGGCAGCTGATCGATGATGAATATTTTAAAAATAGAGACTCCGTAGCTAATTATGGTATTTGGAATATTTTTATCTATATCAAAGACCCTGTTGTATTTGCACTGAAAGACCTTCATGTTCCTGTCTTAACTTTCCTTTTCAGACTTTTTTCTATAACTCAAGGTATCCCTTTTCAGTTGCCCTGGCTTCCAACATTTGCTCACACTGTTCTAGAAATAGGCTTTGGGCCCTAGCTGGTTTGGCTCAGTGGATAGAGCTTTGGCCTGCGGACTGAAGGGTCCCGGGTTCTATTCCAGTCAAGGACATGAACCTTGGTTGCTGGCTCAATCACCAGTAGGGGCTGTGCAGGAAGCAGCGGATCGAAAATGTTCCTCTCTCATAGATGTTTCTCTCTATATATCCCTCTCCCTTCCTCTCTCTCTCAAAATCAATAAAAACATTTTTTTTTAAAAAAGAAATAGGCTTTGGCTTCAGACTGAATTGGAGTCAATACCAGTTCTTATTACTCATTTGCCTTCTTTGTCATATTCACCTGTTAAAAATCCTACTCTCAACCTGCAAAGCCCAGTTCAAATGCTACCTCCTTCACGAAGCCTTAAATATTCCTGAACTAAAATGATTTTAATAGTGTTAAAGTTCAATGGCCCATTTTTGTGCCCCTGTATTTGGATGTCTCATTCTGCCTTCTATAGTTATCTGTGGATATCTTAGACCAAATTCAAAACCTAGCTTCATATGCTTCTTGCTGTGTAATTGGTAGAACCATTTAAATTCTCCAAGTCTTCATTGCCCAAACC